GAAGCCTTTGGCTCGCTGACTTCAGTTCCAGAGGACCCTGTTTCTAGACTAGCTGTTCCGTCCGTTTTTTTTTTTTCCTTCTTCTCTTCAGTCTGATCAGTCGGAAGAACAGGGCCGCCACGCGACGTACGTTCACATCCCCCCCCCTACCGCCCGTCACGCTACGCCCGTTGCGTCGCAAGACTGTGATGGGCGGTGGACGGCAAGACGAGCTCGGGAGCTTGGGAGGGCAGGGGTGGCGGCTCGGCGCCGCCCACGCCATGTCGCACCCTCTACGTCATGTACGGCGATGCCATGCCTTTTGCTGCAGGGGGTGGTGGTCATGCGCCTGGCCAACGGGAGGGCGTCGCGGGGGGCGCCAAGGCTGCATCGGACAGTCTCTGATCATCGGAGCATCAGGCTCACGGGAATCCATTGCGACGGTTCGGTGAGAGAAGAATGAGAAGAAGAGAACGAGATGGAGATGTACATGATCACTGGGGCGCGAGCCTCCATGCCATGCGACGGGAGTGGTGGGCCGTTTCCAGATCGCCTGGCTTGTCATTGTCCCATCACCAGCGGCCGGCCGGCAGGCAGGCAGGCAGGCAGCAGGCGGGCAATCAAAAATCACGCCCCAATCTATCAAGTAAAACACAATGCTTTGCTGCCCTTTCAGCGCACCGTTAGTGGGGAGTCACGCCAGTTCTTTGACTCGCGGGGCTGTGAAACCGGTCAGTCTTCAGCGCGCTCCAATTGATGCTTGTGTAGGAACCTGGTCAGAGACACAAATGTAAGGCTTTCGTTGGGACGACTGGCTCTGTCCATTTGCGTGTCGGGGATCATGCTGAAGAAAGGCTGGAGGGGGCATCCCGTCAAGATGCCGCGTGTCCTCGTTGCCTTGTATTTCGGGGGTGGTGGAACATCAATCTTTCGATTGCCATGGCGCGGTTACCCAGGACCTGCCAGTTTGGATAGCGTCGTGACGGCATGCGGAGGAGAAGGCCGGGTCGGTCGTGTCAGCGTTCTTGGCTCCCGGCCATACGGTTCAAGCATTTCTTCATGCTGCACTGCACGTTTGACTCTCCCTCGGGCGACCAGATCGGGCGACCAGAAGGAAACTAGCGACCCAAGGAAAACAACCATTCCTCGCGCGGCGACGGCGGAGGTTGCCGTTCTAAACAGCAGCGGACAGCAAGCCCGGAAGCTGGACGATTCGCGACGGAGCAGTTGGCCCTCTGCGACCGAGTCGGGGCCTCATTCGACACATTTGGGATTAAGGCAGATCGGCGATGATGGACGCCTCTCGGACAAAATGTCTGGGATGTGCCAGTACTCGCCGTCGAGGCCACTGGTCCTGGGTCCTGGGCGCGCTTCTCTCTCTCTCTCACCGTGGCTGTTCGGGGCGCCGCGGCGTTTGCTGGCCAATGTTCCAGGGGGACAGGGGGGGGGGAGAGAGCCGGCACGTGCAGGAGGCCCACAATGGGAAATCGAGGTCATGTCGCTGAGGCCAGAAAGAGAGAGTCCAGAACACCAGCGGCGGCTGGCTGACCCCACTGTCTGGGGCGACCTCCTTGTACAGCGCAGAGGCCTGTCGCGCAAGCCCCTCGCCCTGGACAGCGATCGTGATCGGGCGGCGGTTGTCGTGTAGTGTATCTCGTGTAGTAGGAGGGGGGCCAGGATGACGGCTGCACGGTGGCTGCTCGCGTTGGGAATAGGGGGACCCTATTTTTGCCTGCTAGCGAGTACATGGTATTGCTAGCGAGGATGGGGGGACTGTGCAGATGGTACGATGGAATGCATGCGCCCGTCGGATCGGATTGTGTGCTTGCGAGGCATCGATTTGTTCAAGATGGCGATGAGGGGGGAGGGGGGGGGGGAAGGGAGGGGGAGATTGCCTGCTCTGTCCTAGGTATGGTGCCTGGTGAAGAACTGCTGCGTGTCGGAAGCTTGAGCCCTTGGGGCCAGGCGGAGGAGAGGCAACAGGCACAGGCACATTCACGGTCTCTCCCTCCTCTGTCTTGCCTCTGAACGTGCGTGCGTGCGTGCGTGCGTGCCAGGCCAGCCAGCCAGCCAGCCAGCCAGCCAGCCAGCCAGCCAGCCAGCCAGCCCTGCCAGTTCTGTGGTAGCCCGCCCGTCTGCCCTGTTTTTGTTCGTCTGTTGGCGCTGCCTGCCTGAGGGGGGCGAGGCAATCGGCCTGACAGGTGAGGCACTGTTCTCTGCGACCCTGTCCTACCTCAGGCACCTACCTACTACCTAGGTAGGTAGGTAGGTAGGTACTCTGGGTACCTTGGGTGGTAAGTAAGCAAGGTAAGGTAAGGTACCTAGGCAGGCAGATGGAAAGAAGGCCCCTAATGGAAGACCTACTCTACTGGCCGCGGATGAGCGAGAGAAAAATGGAAAAAAAGCAAAAGCTTCCGGATCGGAAGCGATCATCCCATGAGGGAACGCGTCCTATACCTGTTCCTGTTTTCTGGTTCTGCGGCCCTGCCGAGAAACGACCAGTCAACCTGTGAGGTAGACGAGGGATCCGAGTCAGACACGTTTGTTTGACAGGCAAGCTGAGCGACAAGTCTCCTACGTCATTTTCGTCGTGGGCCTGACAAGAGCAACACCACCCACGGGGACTGGCCGCGCTCCGCACTTTGCACTAACGAGGGACTTGCGCACCAGCGGGCACTATCCTCTCCACCTCCCTCCCACCCACGCACCGCGCACCGTCTGCGAGAGGGCAGCAGCACCTAAGCACACCAGCACACCAGCACCTGAGCACCTGAGCACCTCAGGGCCCTGCAGAGCAAAGCAGCATTGCAACGAGACGCTGACAACGCATACCTTACCTGCCAAACCACCCGAGTCCTCTTGAGCGACTCCTTTGCCTCTGGCCCTGGCCCTGTCACCACCACCACCACCACCACTACCAACCTCGATCGCATTCTTCCCACTCCTCCTCCTCCTCCTCCTCCTCCTCCGCCACGCTCACTGCACCTGCAGCCTGTGTTTTTTTCTTTTTTCCTTTTGGGCCTGCTCACCGCGCAGCCCTCTTCGCCACCCTCGAACTACTGACTTGATTGCTTCCATTGTACACCAGTGTGAGGACGACACACGCCCAGCGACGATACTACGAGAAAACCGGCTTTGTATCGTCTCTCTCGTCACGCTTCGATACCGACCTCTCTCGTCTCGCCTTCCGTCTGATTTCCCCCTTCGGCGCTACGACACGCCACTGCGCTTTGGACGACAGACTTTCTGCACGCTCGTGTAGCGTCGTTCTCTCTATGAGGAATGCCCAGCCTCAACTCTCCGGCAGACAAAGAAAGGTCGCCTTTGCGCGACGATAGCTGCCCGACGATCGTCTTCTTTCTTCGATACACGACGACCCGCCTCCGCCGCCGAGCGCAACGCGCCCCGCCGAGTCCTCGTCATGGAATAGGCGCCGAGTCGCCAGCTGCTGCCAAAGCGCGCCCAGCCATGCCCGCACAAAACTCGCAATACCCTCCGGGCCGCGGCCACCCAAGCCCAAGCCCGCGTACCGTGAGCTTTGCCGATGACCTCGCCACTCGCAAAACCGCCAAAGCCGGCCCACCGAACCAGCACCCGCCCACGAACACCGAGGACGTCTCTCTGCCCCACGTCGACTCGCAGCAGCAGCTCAACCAATACCGAGAACAGCTCGCCCGCGATCTCGAGCGACGTGAGCTCGCCAGCAGGAGTCCCGCCACCGACCGCGCCAGCAAGAGTCGCGTTTCGCCGATCCAGGAGGAGGCTGCTGCTGCCGCTGCTGTTGCTGCTGCCGCCGCCGCTGCCGAACATGTGACAAGCGTTGCGTCCATCTTGAGTTCGCCCCATGCCTTGAGCTCCGGACGGGCCTCTGTCGCGTCTACGGAATCCGGCAACACCATCCGCGGCGGCATGACCCCGGGCTACGTCGCCGCCACGCCGTCGTACCCCTTCCCCCGGATGACGACGCCAGGCATGGGCCCGGGCTTCATGCACCGTCCTTTTGCCAACCTCTCGCCTTCGACTCTCCACTTCATGTCCCAGACCATGTCCTTTGACCACTTTGCCCACGACAAGGTCCTGTCCAACTCGTCGACGCCGGCGTCCACCATGACTTTCCACCCCTCGGGCGCCACGCAGCAGCAGGACTACGGCGATTACCCCACGCCACACCTCTACGACCTCTCTCTGATGCTGGGAGCCGAGCCCGGCCTGGAAGCCTGGTGGAGCACCGTTGTGCAGATCCTGCGCGACGTGTACAAGGCCGAGAGAGTGACCCTCGCCGTGCCAGCTGACAGCACAGATATCGAGAATGTCCCGTGGGGTCAGAAGGCCACCTACAACGAGCACGAAGAGGATGAACTGAGCCTTGGCTACATGGCCCGCGGCAGCAGTCTTGTGCCCAGCAGTGCTGACGAGCTCTCGCAAGCCACACCAGCCTCCAACGACTCGTTGCGACCACAGTCCCCAGCACGGCCCGGATTACACAGTCGCCATTCCTTCACCTCGTACGAGAACATTCGAGACCCTGCGCGGCGGTGCCGCGCACAGCCGCCGAGCCGTCGACCCTCCCACTTGTTCGAGCCAGAGCTACTTCCCGCCCGGCCGCA